CAAAAGGAGGTAGAAGAAGGCCAAAGGGGGGGGGGGGGGGGAGAAGAGAGAAGGGAGAGAAGGAGAAGGTATCTGAGGGGATTGTGCACGTCAGAGCATGTATTATCGAGAGGTTGAGCCCAAAGTTAAGTGTTCAGTAGAGACCTGTCGAAGGTAGGCGAAAGAAAATTAGAGGCCCACGGCTCCCAGACCCTACTGAATCTGGGAAGACTACCAAGCAATTTAACCGTCAGCTTCTCATTAATCATGATCCAGTGGGGCCCATTTTTGACAGCTGAGGTACTCAGGCCACCAGAGCGCCATGCACTGGCTAATACCTGTTTCGGAGATAGCTCCTTTTTCAAGTGGAGGGGGCATTGATAGGACATGGCTTTGTTTTAGTCAGGCACTACCTCAACTAGGAGGTCTTTACTGAACTTCTTCTCAACCTTTCCACCACCCTCCTCCTTGTTCTGAGATGCCATGTCAATGTAAGTAGCCAGCATAAAAATCTCCACATCGTATTGTGAGATGCTGGGGTATGTTGTAGCTCGAACTTACAGCTGTTGGGAATGGTGTAACACATTGTAGGGGTTCCTGAGAACAAAGAAGATGATTTCTTGACATGTGCAGGTTTTTGTAGCCTCTTCTTAGGTAATGTTATATGTCTATCTCTTTATTTAGTGTTTGACAGTAGGGGTAAACTAGGAGAGCCTGTAACATGTAAAAGAGGACACTTCCAAAACACATCTTTCATCTCCCAAAGAACCGGGTGTAGTTTCTACTCCCCCCCATCCTCCTTCTTTACATGAATGCCCCAGAGGCTAAATGCTCAATTCACTCATTATTTTCTATGATGTTTCTGCTTTTCAGGAAGGGGAGCTGAAGATAACACATGGCTAAAAATAATATGTTATGGCTTATGAGTTGAACCTAATGTCATCTTTGATACTTCAACACATGCTGTGCTTAAAAAAAAAGAGTATTTCATGTTGCAGTATGGTAAAAAAAATAAAATAATTCTGTGGAAAATCAAGACTTTTATTTACTGCTCCTACATGTTTATACAGGCAGTGGATTTCAGTTGTACAGAGGTAATGGCCAGTGGGATCCTGTGTATGGACAAATGGGTAATAAATAGTTGGAATTTGTCTTGTGAGAAAAGCTTTAGGTGTAGAGCAATGGTCTTCACTAAGGCATGCCGATTTCAGCTGTTGTTTAGCTAGAACTGCTAGTGCTATTTGTGTTAGTGTTGTGTTAGTGTGTTAGTGTTCATGTTGTGTTAGTGCGTTGTTTGGAGCACTGGAATTTTTTAAAGGCTTTTACATTGCCATTTCTGAAGCTGCCAATTCAATTTCTGCCCAAAACCTTATTGGCACTATATTAATAAATAGATTATACAGCATTATGCAGCACGAGTAGGTTATGTAACATGGTATAAATTGGGACGTACAGAAAGCTTTCTTCTATACCCTAGGAGTACAAGTGTTTGTACTAGAAATAACTGTATAGTCAAGAGAGCAATCAGAGAATTGATGGTGGTTAAAGAGAGATCTTGTGAATTTGGATTACATGCCTTTGTGAAAATATTTTTTTTTGTTTTAGATAAAGTGGAGAGGAGTTAGAACCACTGTCATGCTTTTATTGCTTGCTACAGCAAAAAAAAAAGGAGTGCAATATTTAAATTTTTATTCAGAAACAATCAGTAACAAAAATATTGTACTATAATTTTATCTGAATGACAGCACAGTGATATTAAAAACACCAAGGGACGATACACACCAGCAGAGGCATTATGGTGCACACAACATGTAAGTGCTTGTGCACATTGTATATGCCTACTGCAATACGTTGTTACAACACATCATGGTACTTTTTTTATTCTTTTTTTTTTTTTATACATTGCCTTGTGTTTGTAACATGCTGTCTTGCGATAAAATGTATGCCTTGTACCTTGGTGTAAACAGGCCCTAATACCTTTCTTTGCATCGGAACTGCATGGTGTATTGCTGTCAAACACAGCCCAACGGGGCTGGTGTGTAACTTCAAGGAACTTTGTATCTTTCACAGTACCTTGTCCTGGACAAAAATTACAAAAAAACAAACCTAATAGCGGCTTTTGCCATTCCCTACTCAATGCAAAATGAGGAAAAAAGTTTTGGCTTTACTGATACTTTAAGGACCTGGGGGTATGATGAACACCTGATAGCATAGAAAAGGGAGTTCCTGAAAAGGACAGCAGTACAGGAGAATTCTTAGACTTGTAAGTAAGCAGGAAATTACCTATAATATGTACTGAATTACTTGTAGTTTTAGTGAAGATCAGCATAGAAGTGTGTATCTGTAGGCATGTTTTAGACCTCTGCTGAGTACAGAGACTTAGCAGGTACTGCACTGTAAGATGGCAAAAAATTAATTAGTACTCTGCAGAAGACATTATTGAAGGACTGGAGAAGCTGTGAACAAATAGTGAAGGGAGAAAATAGAGCATATCGCATTGGGCTTCACTTAGCCTCTGTCAAAGCCTCCATAGGGTTTCGCCTTGTTTACCCATATCTTCAGAAAAAAATCACTTCTACTGTTGTGGTAAACAACCTGCTTCCCTATTTATAATGGTCTGGCCCTCTAGCAACTTCAGCGCAAAATTATAGCTAATTTGCCTACAAACGTCGGGTGGTCATAATAATCTGGCCACTCAGTGTAGTGTAAGGACCCTTTTAAGTTCAAAGTGTTTAAATAAAGTAACAAAACTTAAACTAGATAGGGAATTCAGTATGCATTCTCTTGTTCTATAAACATTTTACTGTTCACGGCAGAGTGTTCTAGTCCTTTGAAAATTTGTTTCATTCAGGAACCTGCCGGCTTGTTGTAGATTACATCGTAAAAACTGTCACAGTGTATAAAAATTAATGGCAAACCAGCCATATTTTGTTTCTTTAGTAAAATATAAATCATATCTAAAACACTGTTTTAAAAGTCCAGAAGGCTGCTTTTATAGTTGCTTTGTTAAAGAAAAGTTTTTAGACTAGTTTGATTAGTTAGTTTCATAAAATTTGGCTAGACTTGACATAATCTGCTTCCTATATTTCTTTTTAGTGTGGTCGAACATCATGTCCCAGCACCAAGATGGAAACTTCACCATCTAACTTATCAATTTGTTTGACAAAGCCATGTTAAGCTTTGGCATAGCCATACCTGGCTTTCCGATCGACTTCATATGTTCCACATTTCTGGATTGTTCCACCAAAAACAGAATAGTTGAGAAGGATGCTAAGACCATGGATTTATAGCAAAATATAGACATGTGAATGTAATGCTCACATTAGATACATATTCTCACACTGATTACATACTGTATACTCTCAGTTTGACAGTCCAGCCCTTCAGAGTGCAGGAGAAGGCTGGGGCAATGCCTAGGGCAGGAGAGATACCTGCCTCAACTGCAGCTTCTCAGCACAGCTCCTGAGACAGGTGCCTCTCCTGCCTCTTCCCCAGGTCCAGCTCTGGCCTCTTCCCAGTAAAGTGGCATACTTCAATAAAAGGAAACCTGTCATAAGAGAGGTATGAAGGTTGCCACTGCTAACTTCTCATTTGAAAAAAAAAAGGCTAGTTAGCTGGCTCACAATGATTTTAGAAAAGCGGTCCAGATAAGGACTTATGGCTTTTCTCTGGTGTCCCTGAACAGCATACCTAATCCAGGTAGTTGTAGCATTCATGTTTCTTTCACAAGTTTCCTTTAGTTGTACCCATCATGTATACTTCCCAATTTCAGTAGAAAGTATGTAGGCAAAGAACACACCCCTGACACACAACCATTTACATAGACCATCAACAATTGAGCCTTGAAGAGACTGTCACATTTAGTGTCTGTGCATCATTTCATGTAAAGGAGGGACCATTCATAGCTCCAAATGTAAGTCAGTGGGCAGATGTACAGCGGCCAGGGAGACTGCATAACATTTCTAGGAAATGATAGATGGAAGACATACATGCAAAATATAAATCTAGGCTGTGTACAGGGCCTTCTGTTCATTCATTAACAGATTATGTGACTGGATAGTCTAGGCATATGTACATATTGTATGTACCCTAATACCCTTGTATCTAAAGGATGTATCTTGTGCCCTTTGAATTGCTACTGTTTCTCTGTCATTAAAATTTCATGAATGATGCAAGCTTTTCTAGGAATAATTCTCAACCTGGCACAAAGCTTTCAGTCTGCATCCAATGTGTTGAATACTTGCCAAAGTCCTTATGTTGTGATAGCATATTGGGCTGTGAAGACCTTCTCCCATGCCCCTCCCCCCCTACCTCATCAGCCATGTAAATAAACAAGACCCCCCCTTCCAATCCTGTATCAATGGACCGGCCCTCATTATGTCTTCTCTCCATAGTGTGAAAAGAAAACTTTGCTGGAAGCAATTGCTCTACTTTTGCTTTACATTAGCAGCAAGCAGGAGAGTATACAATAAAGCCAAGCGTTTGTGGATACCTGATTATCGCATCTGTATGAGTTTGTTGGACATTCCATTCTAAAACCATGGGGATTGATATTGAGTTCTCCCATCTTTGTGGCTAGAACAACCTCCACTCTTTTTGGAAGGCTTTCTACATGATTTCAGAGCTTGTAGGCCGTCCCTCTGCATCCTCATGTAAAATGCAGGACTTGGGGCCCTGCATTAGATGTGATGGCGTCAATAGGCGTCGGCGTGGAGTAGGGAACAGGCTGACGGCACTGGTCTTGGAGCCAACAGGAGCAAGGATCAGGGATCAGGTAAGTAAAAATCCTTTACACAGGTCGCTAAACAAAAACGAGCAATCAACCCTTGCAGCGTTGGGGGTAGCCCCTCTGCAAGGGTATTTTTTTGGAGCGGGGGGAGGGGTTACCTGGCGATAGGCTTTAACTTTTTTTTTTCTTTTTTTTTTAGTTCTAGATATAAATAAAACATATAAAAAAGCATGCTATACATTTTCTTTAATGTACCTCCATTAATGTAAAATGTTCATCCATTTACAGAAACATGACAGGAAGAGACATACGAACGTTTGTAACAACTCACAGAAGCAAAGACACAGGTATAGTATAATATCTTTCTTGTTGGTTGTAAAGGTACACAAAGACATGATAAACATCTATTACCCACAGGTGAGTCATCCAATGGTGATGGCACCAAGAACATTTATATATTTTCTATATAACATCTGGCACTGGAACTCATGCAGCAGCACTATACACAGCTATAGATTGGAAGACTTTCTTTGTATAGCACATTGAAAAAACACAAGACAAAACCCCAACACATGAATACACTAGGTATGAGAGAATATTATATCTTTATAACACTCAAGGTTAAGTCAATTGGACAAAAATGTAATGTTGCTGGTACTGATTTTACTAACGGTTTGTAAAATACAACCATTCAATGGCTGAACTGTTTTTGTTGTGCCATATTGCTGCCAGTGTCAAATCTTTTAAAACTCTCCCTTTATCTCATGATGCATGTTCTGTTTCCATTGCCGGTTAAATTTCCTTCTGGCAACAATCAGTTGTTATATTGTTTTTCAAAGTGTGTGTATGTATGTATATATACAGGTGAAACTCGAATAATTAGAATATTGTGCAAAAGTAATTGCAGTAAGTGCTGCAAAAGGGGCCCAAACCAAGTACTGAGTACATATGCATGCTTGTACTTTTCAGAGGTCCGATATTGTTCTATGTACAATCCTTGTTTATATATATATATATATAGTGAGAATTCGCTCCAAACAGTAGCGCATTAAGGATGCATCCACTCGCTGAAATCTTCATTTAAGGTGTCCTTGCCCACTTTTATTTTTATTTTATTTTCTGCTTGTCCATTAGCAGGCTTGTCAACAGTCATCACATACAGTGTAGGACCAGAAGTCCTACACTGTATGTGAAACTGCCAAGGGCCCGCACATATCCTGGGAGCATCAGGGAAAGGAGAAGAGCACCATCTACTGGGTGAGAGGGTAAGGTAAGTTATCGATCTGATTCAGCATCACCTAGACTTAATGGCATTCAACCCAAGCAGTGCGGGGAGGGAGCCCACTTCATGGGTATATTTTATACAAGCCTGGAGGCCGGCTTCAATAAAAGTACTTGTTAGGGCACTTCATGTTACGGGGTGACAATGGTCTGTCCTTGTGTCCCAGTTGTTCTCCTACATTCTCATTCAACCTGGTGAATAATATAAGCAGCCATGCAAAAAAATAATTGTAAAGACATTTTGCGCCATTTTCACAATCAGGAAGCCCGCTCTAAGCACTGAAATGCTGCTGCGATAAAATCAGTATTTCCTTAAATAAAATAAAATGGCAATTGTTTATAGTACGTGGTGTTTTAGCCAAATAAATGTCATCCTTTAGGGTATAAACACAACACATTTATGTGCTGACTGAAAATACATGTTTTCCCTTTAGTTGTGATCCTTTGGATACCATGTTCTAGAACACAACAAACACCCTAAGACGTTGTCCAGATGGGCGGCAGACCCCACCGCCCCTCTGTAAACTGTCCACTGCTTTTCAGAGGGTGGTGAGTCAGCGGCTGCCCGGCGTTCAGGAGGTGAGGAGGAGACTTCCTGAATGGCATTATTTTTTTTTCTTCCTCTCTTTTCCTTTTTTTGAATCCCAATGAGGATTTTTTTATGCCATCGGTTGTGGCACAGTCCTATTGATTGCAATGGTCATGTTTGACAAGCAGCTGTAATGTCCTTGCCTGCCGCGAGCCGTATGCGTTCCAGCGTGGAACGCATCGGCCGCATCACGGAGGCCACTTCCCTCTTGGAGGGGGAGCTTCTCTGCTCTCCACCATGGAACGCGGAAGTGACATCACGGCCGTGTCACTTCCGGGTTCGCGGACTATTTAAAGGTACTGTGGACGCTATGGAAGCGTTCCACTATTGTGCTCGATGCCCTACACAAGCCAGGAGCTCCACGAACCACACACACCTCTGGACCTTGATCTACCTGACAACTAACTACTAGGAACCGCAAGTATTGGTAACAAGTGGGGGATTTGTACTTGCCCAGTTGAACTGTCTAACTACTAAAACCCTTGGCTAAAGAACCAGTACAGTATACTGTGACAATCTGCTCGCTTGTTCATTCCTGCTTGAACGTGTGTATATACCTTTATTCTGGATCAAGACTGTTACATAACCTCTGATTCTAACTCTCTGTGTACTGACCCGTTTAGTGCTGAGTTGTGTACACAATACTTTGTTCAAACTTCCCCACCTCACTTGTGGCAAATGATGCAAGAACCCCTCACTCTCCGTTAAGATTGAGAGAGACGCCTGGGGTTCAAGCCTGATTGCCATACCCAGCCTTCAATCACCTTCTCAAGTCCGCAGCTGTGATCCATTGCCCCGTCCCAGCAACAGGTGCATTACAGCAGCACTGCTTGCCAAGTGTGACAAGCTGTTTAGAATTTGCTTTGCACCGTGGCATGTGTACAAGCATGATTGGCAGCTATGTTAAAGGGGTTCTAAACCCTCCCGTTTTTTTGCCTATATCTCCTGCTATCAAGCAGGAGATATAGGCAAACAGTTTTTTAAAAAAAACAGCTTTAACAGCGGTTTAAACTTACCTTGTTTTCGCTGTGCGCTCCCGCCCAAGAAAACGAAACTGTCCGGGCGGCCGCAAAGCATCTTGGGACGCTAGATGGACCAGAGGAGCGCCCTCAGATCCATTTTTTGGAAGTAATGCCCTGTGATCAGTGGTCGCCCAGCGTAACTTTATAAGTCAGCCCCTTAGTGTTAGAAAATTGTATTTCCTAATTGTCTACACCCCGGTTTCAAATGCAGGATGTCAAACATTTGCCACTGTTTAAGAAATAGCTTTGCCACCAAACCTGGGTTATTACAGAGAACATAGGATCTAGGTTTTGTTCTGTAATATGTTTTCTGCCTTGGAGAACACAATTTCACACCATAGTGTTAGTCAGAGTTTACTTCTGCAGCGTAGTAAGTTCATTTCAGATTTCTTAATTTTTTTTAATTATTAATAATAATAAAAAGACTCCTTTTAGCTTCACTAGATAGTACAGCTAATACAGAAACCAGAGATTAATTTACTACAATAATGCATCAAAAACTTTGAAAATGATGGTGCCTGGAGCTCGGTTTTAAATATTCTAAAGCATACACAAAGGAACACAACAAGGTCAGTGTGCCACACTCCATTACGCTTCTGTTCCTGCTGTATACTTCTATTATGGAATGAAGAATCCTACATTCCCCAGAGTAAAGTGTCAGTATTTATTGAATGGATGCTGCATATGCCAGTAATCAAGCAATGTATGCATCTTCTAGCTTTCATCTAAGGCCAGCGGGTAGGTTTGTGTACATGAACGTTTGTTTGTGCTTTGGCCATGTATTTGTGATGCAGTTTGGAATCATTTAATATCGGATTTTGCTCTTTCTCACTTTTGTTCTTTGTTGCTGCATTCGCTTTGCATTTCAGTAATGTTTCCTGTCACATTTTACTACAACTGAACCGTAAATGCAAACATAAACAGGTCAAAATTCAAGTCCAAGCAAAATTATACTGTGTCTTATACTCGTATTAAAACAACACAACTTTCCTGCACACAATCTTTGGGTGACTATACATAGAGTTTACTTAAATATATACATCTGGAAGATTCTGATGCCGTCATCAGGGCCAGATATAATTTAGGGCCCCTTCAGACCTATTTGTTGTGATAACGTGTTCATTAAAACAGAAGTAAAGCTTCCGTAAAAAAATTGCCAATTGCTAGTCTTTGTAATACAGAACACACTGTGTCTCTTCTGATATAAAAGCTTCTCTCTAGCTGTCACCATTTTTTCTCCGTACGCTGAGCCACCCATGCGCAGTTTAGCACAATGACCTGGAATGCTGAAATGAAGTAAGTGCATGGGAGTTACGCCATCGGAACCTGGAATAGGACTTACCCAGAGATAGAAGTGCCAGAGAGGAGGTGCGCTGCATTTTAGGGGATTGGTTTGTTAGATAAGCCTGCCATGAAGCGCATGCAAATATGCTGTGCGTACTAAAATATTATGGTTAAAAGGGCTTTTTTTTTTTTTTTGCCTGTACTTCCGCTTTAACTTTAACACACAACAACAGTACATATTACACGTGTTAGTGCATTGCACTGCAGCACACTGTAACATACTACCATGCGCTATGGTGTGCAGTGTCAGAAAAAAAAAACCTCACTACCCGATCTTTATTTGGGAGAGATAACCATAAAGCATAATAAATTCTAAACAGATAAACTTACAGCCTTATCTTTCTCAAAATAAGTAGCGCCTTTACTACATTATAAAATTTATACTTGGGAGCTATAGACGTCATGTTATATGGAATATATAACGATGACAGGATAAACATTTTAGTGTTGGAGGTTTTGTAAAAGTAGATTTGAATGCTATTGATTGAGTGTTGCAGCTCACTACAGAACGTCTCCCTTAGGCTTTCAGAATGATCAGAATGTGTAATAAGTATATAAAAATAAGATTGCTTTCTTCTCTAAATGCAGTCCATACACCCAGCCCAAAATCTACAAATAGCGATTTGGAATTGCATTTCTCATTACGGAAAAGGTACAGAACCCAATTCTGTAATAATATGATTGCACTGATCAGAGGCTCAGTTATCTCTCAAATATACAACAGATGTGGAACAGCAATCAAATATGTGTGAATCAAATACGTCTGCTAAAAGCTTTTTTTGAACTGATGCATAAACTAGCATGCTCATACCAAGAGTCCGTGATTGTCAGGGAAACTTTACTTCACCATATTGTAAGGTCCGAAATTATACCCTTCTGACCACGCCCACTTATAACTATAACCACAAAACATACCCCACCCATTTGGGGCCACAATCACAAGTCACGCCCACATTTTCAAAATGCCCTCCAGCTATTGGTCAAAGACTTGAAACAAGAGGCAAACATTTAAGATATAAAGGCAAAATAGAAAAAAAAATCAAACAAAAGGCCCCAAGATTTTGCATGCAGTAGTTAGCAGAGACGACTTTAAGGCATTAAGGTAACAGGATAAATGCTACATGCGTAGCCACCTCCCCGACACATAAAGTCATTGCTAATAAGGTCAGTGTCGCTTTGCAGTGTATGGCTTATGGTCCCCTTTCACATTTGTGCATTGCGTCAATGCGTACCAAAGCTTGCAGATTGATGCGCATTCACACAACGCATTAAAAACATGCAGCAGTGCCATTACTTGTTAGTGGCATCCCAAACACAGCCAGTAAAATGAGTGTCCATGCCCGTGCATTGACGTCTGACAAATGTGCATAACCGTGTGGTCTAAAATGCGTGAAGCTTGCAGCTAAAACTTCTGCATGATCTTCTTTGCTGCGTTTGTTAAATGAATGAGCTGACACACAACAAATGTGGACAAACGGTGACGCACGGTCATGCACACTGCAAAGTGAACACCAATTTTGAATGGGGTCTTAGCGTGCAAGTACATAATACAAGCCATACAAGATCACCAGCGTGCAGTGCAATTTTTTTAGGAGATAAGCTTGCAAGGCCCTATTAAAAATTAATAAAGGTTTGAAGAAAACTTACAAATAATATAATAATAATAATGTCATTGCTAAACGTATCCTACAGTTTTAGCTTCAGTTGAAAAGTTGGTATTCACTTTCATTCACAGTGTAGGGGTCAGGAATAGTGATGAGCTTGGGCCTGGTGCGAACCAAGTTTGCCTGAGTTTAGCCAAGGGGGGGTGAGCGGCTTTGGTGAACTCAGGGGAACTGGGTTTGCACCAAGCCCAGGCTCATCACTAGTCAGGAGTACGTAATGGAGATTGCAGGGGTCAGGAGTTCAGAGGTCACTTGTAAGTAAGGCAGAGTGCTGAGTAGTAAAATACACAGAGGTCAGAGTAGTACGTAACGCAGAGTGCAAGGGTCAGAGTAGTAAGTAACTCAGAGGTCAAGAGGTAACTAATGCAGAGCTCAGAGATCAAAGTAGTAACTAACGCAGAGCTCAGAGTAGTAGGTAAGGCAGATCCCAGAGGTCAGAGAAGAAAGTAACTCAGAGGTCAGAGTAGTAAGTAGCGCAAAGTGCAGGGGCCAAAACATTCCAGGTTAGTGTGGCCCCTCCCACTTTACTTCCTCAGCCCCATTGAATGTTGGTGGCAGAAGACTGGCAGGACAGTTCAAGCAGGGGCTCCCACAGACAACACTCAGGCATTCTGGGTGGGGCGGAGGGTTAAATGTGCCCCCTTAGCCACAGGTACCAGGAATCGGTGGCTGAACACGGAGAAGGGAACTTAGGGCAGGCAAGCTTCAGCTGCCCAAAGTAAAGGGGGCACTCAGTGTTAAAGCAAATCCGCGCTTTGTCAATTCAGGGCATTGCAACAGGTTTGCTTTAACCCCCCCATCTCCGTCCAGCATATACACCTTTGCTTTGGTTCCTTTTGGTGTTAAGAACACCCAGTACTTCCGGGTATAGAGGAGCACTGCCCTTCATAATCTACAACTCCAGCAAGTTGTAGCTCGCACAGAACTTTCCTTTGCTCTCGATGGCTGAACAGAGCAGCAGGGGAGTGAAATAAAGTAAAGCATATGCTGCTTGGGAGGGCTACCTTAAAGTGAGCCTGTTTCTTTGCCCTGCATGTACAAAGTATTAGACATGTGCACTGCCAAAAAATTTGTTTCGTTTCGTTTTAAATTCGGATTTGTGTTATTTCGTTTTTCGGGATTCGGGTGTGAAAGCTAATTCGGATTCTGAATTTGTATTCGGACGAAATTTGTTAGCGGTAGTTCGTTCGCACGTTCGTTTCGTTTCTTATTCGTTTCGTTCGTTTGTTCGTTTGCAGCAAAGTGACATTTGAGGGGCAAAATGTTTTTCTTCAACGAACGAAACGAATAAGAAACGAAACGAAACGAACGTTCGAACGAACTACCGCTACCGAATTTCGGAAACGGAAATTCGGATTCGTTTGCATTCGTTATATCTGTAATTCGGAATTCGGATACATGCGAATGTCCGAATTTCCGAAAATTCATCCGAATTTCGATTCGGAACGAAACGAATCGCACATGTCTACAAAGTATAGATCCACTTTCAGAGTTATTTTCATGGTTGTTTGTGTTTTATTTTTACATATCATTGTGAAGTATTTCTGGAATGCAATGTTGAATTGGAGAATAGAAAGCAATGTTCACTTGCAATGATTGTTACTTTTTCCATGCATTGCTTTTATTCCTCTGTACAAGTCAAAGGGAACGTTATTTGAATGTATGGTAAATGGATCTGAAACGCATCTCAAATGCAAGCCATTTTTCTGTGAAAACACCTGAAAGCATCCTGCGTTTGACATGCTGTTTACACTTAAGTAAACTAACCTTGGTTTGAAGCCTGAAAACTACACAATATCCTTTCTTTTTCAAAGTGTGAAGGGAATGTAGAGTATTTTCACACCCTCATCTAAGGTATTGCTATTTTAATAAACACCACTTTAACTAGTTATATATTTGTTGATTAAATGTGTTTAAATACATCTAGCATATAGAGCAGCTGCAGATGTCTTCCTCTGTGTTCCACATTACGTTGAGGGTGCCTCTCCATGTCCTTCATGCTCCTTCTTCTCTGAAGAATGACATCAGTCTGGAACTATGCAGGCAGTGTTGGTCAGCAAAAAAAATGGGCTGAAAATCTCGGCTTATACTCGAGTATATACGGTACATTTTTGTTAATAGTTAGGGTATTGAATGCATTTTAAGATTTAACTCCTGAGTTTAGTGTCTCTTCAAAATTCCTCCATACAACAGAGCAGAGTCAGATTTAGAGTGACCTGCTCTGTTAGGTCTTGCTTGACCTGGGGCTCCGGGCACTATACCCAGGGCATGTACCCCCCGATGCCGGGTATAGCAAAGGCATTGATGCTAATCTACCCTCACCCATAGCCTAACCTCTAAAGCTAACCTAACCTTAGCATAGCTTTGTCTGAACCCCCTCTGTAGCATATGTACGTGATATGGCTTCTATGCATGTTCATATATAGAGCTGTCATTGCCTGAAAGATAGAAGTGACAATATTATGGTGGTGAAATATCACAGTCTGAATTTTTTATTGTCTTTCCTTTTTATTCTACTTCCACTTTTTAGAAGATGAGTTTCTTCTTATTGATGTTTCTTTGTTCTTTTTCATCTAGGGAATCTAGTTATTCGTATGAAGAATGGAATCAGCAGTTCAAAATACAAGCCTGTTAACTATCAACAACTGCGTGCAGAAACTGAAGCCAAAAAATTTGCTTCTGCAGGCATTCAGCTAAAGGTGAGTGTGCCTTTTTGTTACGTCACATACATGAATGCGATTACTATAAAGCTTAATTCAGGCAATTGTCAGATCACTTATATTGAAGCATCCCCCTGGATGAACCTGATGATATAAAAAAAAATTCTACTGTAGAAAAGTGATTCCTCTATATACTATTTCTAAGTCTGGTTATGTGACCTCCTCGGTGCCATCTTCACTGCATTGTGCGGGATGTGAAGAGGAGAAAAATGTCAATATGCTATAGAGCATCCATCTCATTACAAATTTCCAAGTATCACACTCGCACTGTCCATGGTGTCACAGTTGGAAACAATGGGGGGATTTCATAAAAACTGGAGCAGGCAGAATACTGAGCAGTTGCCCGTGGCAACCAATCTGCTTCTCTGTTTCATTTTTAAAGCTGAACAAACTGAAAAGAGAAGCTGATTGGTTGCTATGGGCAACTGCTCCAGATTCTGTCTGCTACAGTTTTTATGAATTTCTCCAAATGAGTAGAGCTGTAGATTAAAAGCAATAGGTGCCACTAGGTAGGTATAGAGAGATTGTATGCAGGAGAGGGTTGATTCTTCCTATTTTAGCTTTAGTTCAGGAATGGGGCTGGCTGTACAACCAACCCTGGCAGTCCAGGGAACAAGAAGAAGTCTGCAAAGCAGCAGATTCAGCTGTCATTACCAAGGACAGGCAACCAGTACAAACAGAGATATCCCCAACGGGTTCACAGACAACAATACAAACAAAAACAATAAAAACATGACAGAAATTCGCCTTGTCAGGGAAGTTCAGTCAGTGTCCATAGTGCAGCTTCTGCACGTACTGATGCATGAGCCATTGCACATAAACTTGCACGCAGAAAGTGTTATGGTGCCAACATCGCTCATGCATATATGCATGCGCATGAATGAAGATGCACGCTTATCTGCAAGTAATGGCATGCACACACCAGCGTGCACATGCCAGCGTGCACGTGCATATACCTGTTGAGCCCCTGCTATTGCTTCTGTTTACAAAGCAGTTTATTCAAACCAAAGCAGCCATTTATTGAGCTGAAAAAGTGGATAATAGCTTTTAGCTCCACCTGCTGGCTGTAAATTAAGGCATTCAAATACCGCTCTATTCTTGGACGTGGTACTAGTTTAATAATTCTCCTGTTTTTTTTGGATATGCAGCATAGTTAATGCAATTGAGTAAATATGTGCTAAAGTTGGTCATGCAAGGCTTTGTTGTCTATGGCATGCTGGAGATGGATGCAACTGCATCCCCTGGTGGCAGCAGGCTCTATATTCTTTGTATATAAAGTTACCCGTACATTTTTTAAACACATACAGGTTTTTATTGTCCTTGGGAAGAGGAATCTATGGTTAAAATATGATCCCTAATCCTGGCGTTCAACTCTAAAGAACACAGAGTACATAGAAGTTGCATGGGTTTGCATTAAGCCATTATCTGTTGGGTGTACATTCTTTTAGTTCATACAGTCCATAGATTTACGTCTTTGTGAATGGCACTAAAACACTCTTCTGTACTTTTCTGCACTTACGTTGTTTTCAGTCAGCTCTTTCTATCCCATCTGATGTAATTATTACCCAAGCTCTCCCTGGAGATCAAATGGTTCGGCACAGAGGCTGCACAGATGGGAAGGACACATTTCACAGTTTACACAACATACATAAAAGGCCTCTTGTCAGCACGTTTAATATCTGTTCCATCCATGTACAGAACAAACTCCTTTGAAGAAAAAAATGCATGGTTGATGGTGAAGAGCAAGCTGAGACGTTGTAAATGTCTTCTCAAATCATCTTCACACCTACCCGTTAAAGTTCTTACCTTATATGATTTTTGTTTCCCTGCAAGTTTAATCTTTTTTAAAATACAGTATATGTATCAGATTGTTGAACTGCACTGCAGACGATAATCTATATTTATACATATAAACTTAAAATAAAAGCTTGACAGAAATATTTACTGTTGCCAAGCCTATCGAAAACAAAAACGAATTGCTTTGACGAGAGTTGAAGTTCAACGCTCTTCCTAGATAAATGGATGAATAAAAAGTAATGGAAGGGTGAAACTACCTACATTTCCTGAGGCCAATGCTGCTGCAGACTCCCTCCAGTGCAGTTCAGCCAAAAGTCTAGCGGTTATTCATGGGATCTCCATTGAAGAGGAGGGATAGGTAGTCTGGACTCTAATACTCCCCTTTAGCAGAGATTACATGATCTAATTGGCTAGGCTTTAGATATTGAGCAGTACTGCAAGGAGCCTGAAACAGCATTTTAACCGGGAAAGGTATATATTTTCTTCTATTATTTTTTCACCATCTGATTTTGAATATTATGGGCATGCTATTTAACCTGGCCTTACTGAACTTGGAGACTGAGTAATTCTTGGCTAAGCAGAACACACAGTGGAGTCTGTGTGTGGTCATCTTTACATATCTTGGTGGCATACAGGGAAAGCATAGCAGATTGGTTACTCTACTAAGGGCCGTTTACTTAGGGCCACCTTGGGCAAAACAAAGTAGACAAAGTATACTTATATCCTGCACGCAACTGGATTAGACAGGTACTGGGAACTGAAATTACTTTGTCATGCTGTGCCACAAAGGGAGAAACAGCAATTAGGGTTCTCCCTTCAAATTCAAAAACAGTTTCTCTTGGCTCTAAATCCTCTACAAATCTGCTGGGGGTGAATGACCCCTAGTGTCTAGGGCGGAACCCCAATCATTGCCCGAACCCGCACTCATCCCTACTAGTGTCATTCAACCTACTTTCTGTGAACCCAGTACAATAATATTTTCATATGGGAAGTCCGGTAAGGTGTGCTACAGGTCCTTGGACATCTGTACCCAGTACAATAAGGACACACCCCTCGGGGGTGATTGCATTATCAACATTCTCTGCAGCATTCTGGAATTTTTACTGCAGGAGAAGATCAGAAGATGATGAGGACCTTGAAAGTCATGTGATCAGACTTAAGACAGTCGGAAAAGGTATGTATACTCAATATTTTAAAGAAAGTGGTGGGGTATGCTGCAAGAGAGGTTTCAGAGGACTGGGGGTGTCCAACTTGGACTTGGGCTTTAAGGATCATTATATTTTGGTGAGAAAAAAAAGAATAGTTTACCCACTGCAAATTTTTGTTGTTTTGCTTTTCAGTTTCTCTGTAAGCACATTGGATGCTCAAGAACCATTGTTACTTTTACTGCTGGATTGGTAACCCTGACTTGGCCTAGTTATCACAAGAGATGCTTACAATGGTCCTGTCATTTGCATCAGCTTGGTATCTTAACCCAGATCATCACATACTGTATATTAAATTATCCACGTTTTTTTTAACCATGTTTGAGAAACCACTTTTCTGAGTTTTTAGTATCTTTGTTTTCTTAAAGCAAATGCCAAGTTCATCTAACAAATGAAATGACTTTTGACTTCAAATGATGAACGATGCAAATGGAACCAAACTGTTCAAATTATGCAATGCGGCATTGCTACAGGAATTGTGCCCACTTTTTTTTTTAATACTTATATTTATAAAATGTATAGGAATTCCCTATACATGTCAGCGACACCTAGGGGTGCTTGTGCTGTGGGAGTGGCATCTGTCCACCTTTAAACCGGGCAGAATTTTTATATGTGAGTTTCTCTAAACACCTTTGGCGCTGTGACTTGACAAAATGGTGAGATGCAGTAAATGCCCATATCCCCTCTACTTAGACGGGGTCAGATGGCATGCCACTAGTAATGCAAGTAATTTTTGGCAATAAGAATTATTGCTTGTGACCATGGGAATATTATAATATAAAAATGAAACTTTAGACAAGCTTATTTTTGCTGAGAGTGGGAAAGAGTTAGAAAATCGGTTGGAAATTACCACTTGTTGGAGAGATGTCCCCATACTTCCTGTCTTGATTAAATGACTCCTGTAAGTGACACAGGGAACAAAGAGGAATCTCCCTGATGGGAACGCAATAAAAGAAAAAAATTAACTCTTTGGTGCTGAACTACTGGAGCTACAACTACAATCTCTTTTCTTTTCCTGAGGGCACAACAGCAAATGCAGGAAATATCACATACAGCAAAGACTAACCTGTCACATGGACTAGCTGAATGTCCAGCAGTCTACTTATGCTTTCTTGATAAGGGCAGGCATGCACTAAGTAACGACTAGCAGATAACAAAGGCTGATCATTACATATTTTTTAGCAAATAAATTGGCATGTATATCCCAGTAGCTGCAGAGAAAATGGTGGTAAAGATAGTACATAGTTATAGTTAGGCTGAAAAAGAAATGTGTCGAGTTCAACCATAAGACAAAAAATATTAGATAAAAATCTGCATCCTTAGAACCCTAAACTAGCAGTGGATGCAAAAGCAAAAACAAATCCTTTTAAAACATGATTCAGAGGTAAAGAATTTTCCAGATCTGCAATACAGTTTGCTAAAATAATTGAAATGTATATATTTGAAGGGAATTATATTTTTTCTCAATAAAACTGCTGTTTTTACCTAAGGCTATATTGCATCACCAGGCACCACAACTTCAGCTTGTACCCTCACAGCACCCGCAGTCCATCTTGAAGGAAAACTCTTCTGAAAGCTCTGTTACCCTGCGCACACTCCATCATGCTCCATGCTCTATCTACACATATGCCATTGCCTGATGCTTAGTCATAGTGCACAGCTGCTGCTGGTCCTCCTTCACAGCCATACTCTTTCTTGGTATTGTCTGTTCCTCTGGAGAAGTTAGGACATTGGCCTGAAGAGCACCTAAACTGCTGTGCTTACAAACCTAACTGACAAAGTAGTGAAGAATTGGGATGGACATCCCTAGTTCTTCAGTGGTAGCTCCCAGATTCACTTTTAGGCCTCATTCACACTGCTAAGAGCCGGCCCATACAGATCCGTGCAGAGTGCACGGCTGTATCGGGCCGCTCCCAGGAAGGACAGGTGCTGCATGGTATTGGTACGCAGCAGCCTGTTCTTCTCTATGGGAGTATG